GCCAAAGACGTCTATAGACGTCTTTTCAAATCCAACCGCTGACTGCCAAAGACGTCTATAGACGTCTTTTATGTTTTTCAATGCGAGTGGCTTGGGGGACGATCGGCGAAAGTTTTCCCGTAAATATCGGCTTCTAGACAGAGTATGGACTAACAAATTTACCCTCTAGGTAGCTGTGCCACTTTTGATGGGAGATTCGCATAGATTGTAAGCAAATAAAAACAAACGCAATAGTTCGCTATGAGAGAAATGGCGCCGGTGAGACGCACGTCGAAGAAGAACGGAATGAGGTAGAAACAAAATCTTTTTTCCTGATGAAAGAAGAGAGTCTACTCTTTCTTTTGGTGTGTTCGGTGTTTACATAGTCATAGCACAAACTATTCTGTGGCTCTAGAAAAATCAGTCAAAATTCTCAAAAAACTCTGGCAGTGAGCGACTCTCTGTTCTGAAAATGGCTGGCAGTCAATGAGTTAAATTTTTTTCAATTTTTTTTTTAATAAGCTTCAAAGTGAAGCAACAACACACTATTCAAACTTAAAACTATTTTAAGAAACACAAACTATTTACCAAAAAATCTATTCTATGAAACAAAAAAAAAACTACCCTAAACTCCAATATCTAAGTACTGAAAGAAACACACCATACATGATGGTGTTAGGGTTAGGGTTAGGGATGGCAAATCGACCATTATTCCTATTTTGTGTAGGTCATTTAAGGTTGTTTGGATAACTGAGTGTCTTAATTTGGGGTACAGTTCGAAACCCCATTTTAAAGCGCTTTTCCAAGCTTTCTGTTCATTTTCCATAGGTAAAGACAAAAGAGTTGGTTTTTGTTTCTCAATTGCTTCTTTGTAGTGAGTTTCTAGGATCAGGATGGAGTTGTATGCCCAATTCCTCCAATTTCCTTCCAAAAGCAGTCTGGTTTTCTCGGATGGATGCGCTGCATAGATGGAGTTTTCCAGATGTTTTAGAACTCGTTGAAAACGGTTCGGTTTTGGATTTGGGCCCTTACATGTCTCCAATTTGGAGGCATGGTTATTCAGTTTGAGAAGTTGAAAAAAGGATTTGGAGAGTTCCTGGAAGTCGGTGTAGGACATGTCGGTTTCTTTTTTTGTTCCAAGAAAGGTTGAAACTATGTGAAAAAAAGATAAAAAAGATTTGTTAGTTCCTATTTTTGAACAAAAGTTTTTTTCTTTTTTTAATCTTTTTAGGGAAGAGGGGAAATTCAGAAAAAAATTAATTATCTGTGCAAGTTAGGGTTAACGTGTTTGGGATTAGGATGGAATTTATATGAGAGTCTAAGAGAGGGTAATGATGACGGGATCATAATTTGTAAATTACAGCGGTGCTCTGTTAGTCCGGGTAAAGCTTGATTACCATTATCGTTTTAAAATTCATATTAGAAAATCTGGTGCTGGGTCAGGGTGGAAGTTGGGTTGGTTTGTTGTCATCAATAGGGTTAGGGTTAGGGTTTTCATACGTGGTGTGTTAGGGTTAGGGTTTAGGGTTAGGGTTAGGGTTAGGGTTAGGGTTAAGGGTTAAGGGTTAAGGGTTAAGGGTTAGGGTTAGGGTTAGGGTTTAGGGTTTAGGGTTGGGGTTGGGGTTGGGGTTGGGGTTGGGGTTGGGGTTAGGGTTAGGGTTAAGGGTTAAGGG